GACTATGGGAAAACCACATGGGCCTGAGTCTGCCCGCCCAGACATCCTGTCCTTGGAGAACAGGTGCCTGAGTGCCTTCCCCAGTGCGGAGAGCAGCATGTCTGTCGGCCCCTCGCCGCAGTGTCTCCAGCCATTGCAGATGATGCATACTGACTTGTGCAGCTCGCACACCGGCACAGGCCTGCTCTCTGAGGCTCCAAGCAGCAGAAGGGCTCAGTGTCTCTCTGCTACAGAGACAGTTAAGGTAGCACCTTTGGCAGTAGCCCCAGACACTCATCTTGACTCCAGATGTGTCTGTTGTATGCTGTTGTCAGTAGGGTTCTCTGCCTCAGTTTCCCTCTGTGCTGCTTTGTGTCTGCATAGCCTCTCTGCTCAGCACCTCTTTACCCTACTGCCATCTTCCTCAACAACATGACTCTTCCTCCAGTTCAGAGATTCGGGACAACAGATCAGTAGCAACCCATGGTCATGGAAAGCCTCTGCTCAGGAGAGAGCTGGCATGACATTGCTACAGCAGGGTCAAACCAGTGCTACTGAGATCAGGCAGGAGATGTAGGTGCTGTTCCAGAGCTCACTTCCCTCTGTATTCCTGTGTAAACACACGGGCACTGGACAGTGCGTACACAGGTCAGAATTGGGAGATGGGCGCACATTGCTTCTGTGGAGACTGGCAGCTGGGCTGAGGGATAGTTACCCTGAGGCCCACACGGTCTGCTAATTACAAAGTATGCAGCCTTGGGCAATACTCAGAGCCCTCTGAAGCCCAACTTCACCTTTAAGCAGAGTCTCTGAAAAATAGACTTCACAGAGTTGTTGTCAGGAGTACAACTACTGCCGTCTACAGCGCGTTAGGGCTGTGCACTTTGCAGAGTTGGGTGAGTGCATTATTCCGTTTCATTTTCCAGCAGCCTGTCTTGGTTACTTTTCTCTCGTTGCTGGGACAAAATACCTGATGCCCAAAATTAAGGAAGGAAAGGTTTATTTCGCTTACAGTTTGTAGAGGTTTCAGTTCATACTTGGCAGATTACGAGGCAGAGTGGCACATGGCAGAGGGCTACAGCTCATGGTGGCAGAACACAGCCAAAGCAGCAAGCACACAAGCCAGGAATCGCCTTAAGCAGCCTCTTGCTCTCCCTTACATATGCAAACTATCCACCCCAGGGCGGGTGCAGCTCTCACACCCATAATCAATCAAACTCTAAAAGCCTGCCCCATGACCACATGAGGCTTTGGGGGGACACCCAGACACAAACCGTAACACAGCCCTAGCAGGTGGTGAATGAGGAAGCTGAGCTTCAGAGCAGTCAAGTAGCTTAAAGCTGCTTAGGCTGACATGGGAGTCGCTGTTTTCTCTTCTGGTTGTAAAAGTATCTTAATAGAATCCTTGGAGGGAGGTGAGGGGCCCCAGCCTTCCCTGCTGTGACACTAGTAAGGACGTGAGCCCAGGGAGGGAGATGTGGAAGCTGCAGGGCTAAGGCTGAGAGGCTGAGCAGGGAGAGGGGTGTGTGAGTGAGCGAGCACTAAGTGGGACAGGACAGGTGAGTGCTGGTGTGGGCTGAGGTGAGCAGAGAGGAGTTTATAGATGTTACAGAGATGTGAACCCTTCCTCTCGCAGGGACCTGCTTTGATCTTCAGACCAAACCCATGTTTGAGGGGTCAGGGGTTCATGCTATGACTCATAACTGCCACTATCCCCAGGATCATCTGTGCTCTTCAAAAGAAGAGAAAAAGTCAGAAGTGAAGGAAGAGGAAGGGACCCAGATGCCTTTTTATAACCTAAGCTTGGGAGAAGAAGCAGCCGTGGAGGAACTGGCCCCGCAGCTTATCTCTGGGGAGTTGGAATCTCATCCTGATTCCACTGACCAGCACCTTCAGGAAAACAAAGTGAGACTTCCAGAGTTGGGGAGAAGTTGTTGCTGGTGGTGGTCTAGGGGAGGGGCTGGAAATCTGAACAAGATCTCTTCTCCAGTTGGGAGGGGAAGGAGCTGACCTGACCCAGCATTTATTTCTCATTGCCTAATCCCTTTTGGTTCTTTTGTTTTGGTTTTTTGAGAGCAGATAGCATCTTGCTATGTAGCTCAGGCTGGTCTTGAGTTCACCATGTAGCCCAGGCTGGCCTTGAACTCATGATCTTTCTGCCCCAGCTCCTGAGTGCTGTGATTTGGGGCGTGTACCACCATGCCTGGCTCCCTATCACCTTCTCTAACCTGTGAGTGGGACAGGTATCTTTCTGAACCTGGGTCCATCTTTTTTTTTTTTTTTTTTTTCCTGTTTTTTTTTTTGAGACAAGGTCTCGCTATGCAGTTCAGGCTGGCCTTGAGCTCACTTTGTAGCCCAGGGTGGCCTTGAACTCAGGATGGTCCTCCTGCCTCGGTCTCCTGAGTGCTGGGATTACAGGCGTGTGCCACCAACCCCTGCTTGGGTCCACTGTTTTTGTCCAGATTGTGTAAGTTGCTCTGCATAGATGTTCAAGGTGATCTGTTAACTCACTCTTCCTTTCCTTTCTCTCCCATCTCCTAGATGATTCTGATGAGCGTACTGTGCTCTACTGTGGCCTCAAATGTAAACATGAAAAATGCAGCTGACATCACCAGTTCCATCCTTGAAATCTGTAGTGCGCTTGCCCCCTTGGAGCCCGAGTTCATCCTCAAGGTATTGTGGAGGAAGGAGGGGTTGAGGTGGGTAGCTGGGAGACAGGAATGTGATTACAGTGTGTAAGCAGGGGCTGACTAGGCTTTGGTTGTGAGTGGGAGGAACTTCCCTTAGAACAGGACAAGGATCTCTGGTTGAGTCTGACGACTCATCCCTGGGGCTCTGTGAATAGTGGAGAAAGGCGAGGTCCGGAAAGGGTACTAGGCTTGCTTTGCCTCATAACCCAGGCTGAGCATGCTGGCCATTATATTAACAGATGAGCTGGCTCTTGGGGAGCTTGGAGTACTGTGAGGAAGGCATGTCACTTTGCAGAATATCATGTGAGAGCAGCTGAATCCAGACAGTGTTTGAAAAGCAGAGAAGGGGGATGGTGTTTGCTGGGGGGTTTGGATGATGGCAGGTTTAACCAGTGATTGAAACCCCCGATAAGTTTGATAGACTTTGACAGGAGCAGTCTTCTGAAGAGAGAAAGGTATGGTTGCCTTGGAGGCCTGTCAGCAGAGTCAGAAGAAGATAAATTACAGAGGAGAATAAAGGCTAGAGCAGTGATGATGAACCCAGGCATATGTGCTGCAGAGGACTGTATGTCTCACTGAAAGCTCTGAAAGGTTCACCCTCACTAGGCTGGATTACGGAGGATTTAGAGGGCCAGGCTAGGGGCCATGGTTATATTTTGCAGAGGGCTAGAGAAAGGTTTTGTGCAGGTAGACTCAATAAGTGCATTAAATTTAGAGCAGAAAGCTACAGCAGAGATGGCTGAGATGCTCGCCTTGTGTCCTAGGCATCTTTGTACGCCAGGCAGCAGCTGAACCTCCGGGACGTGGCCAACAAGGTGTTGGCTGTTGCTGCCTTCTTGCCGGCCTGCCGCCCTCACCTGCGACGCTATTTCTGTGCCATTGTCCACTTGCCTTCCGACTGGATCCAGGTCGCGGAGCTGTACCAGGTGCGGAACTCAGTTCCCAAGCATAGAACCCCTGGCTTGCCTCTCTTCTCTGCCTGAATCTGGAGCAAACTCTCAGCTAAGTCCGCCTCCCCTCAGCTTCCCAGCTCGGAGCCCACAGGAGACAGCTTCTCCCGTACCAGGCTGGGTTAAGTAAAGGAGGGTAGGACTGGGCCACAGTTTGAGAAATAATTGATCTTGCTGGGCGTGGTGGTGCATGCCTGTAATCCCAGCACTCGGGAGGCTGAGGCAGGAGAATTGCTGCAAGTTGGAGGTCAACCTGGGCTACAAAGTGAGTTTAAGACCAGCTTGAACTACACAGTGAGACCCTGTCTCAAAAAGACCAAAAAAAAGAAAGAAAGAAAGAAAGAAACAATTGATCTTAACTCTGGGTTATAAACTCTTACGTTTATAATGAGGAAAATGAATCAGAGAAGATGGCTGACCTGACAAGTACCACAGAAGTTTTTCTCTCCTCTCCTCTCTTGTCCTCTCTCTTTACCTTTTCCCTCTCCTCTCTTCTCTTGTCTTCTCTTTTCTCTCTGTGTGCGTGTATGGGGAATAATGTCACCTTGGGGCACAGCATGCTCCCACCACCAGGGAATATCCCTTGTAACATTCCTGGGGTGCTTTTCGGAGCCTTTTCTCCTTTTTTTTAGTGCTGCCCTTACTGGAAGCTCCCTCCTTATCCTCCCTGGTGACTGCTTCCTTGCTGAAAGAAATTTGCCTCTTTTTCCTGGGGACATTCCTGCTGTCTGCCTCTTCTAGTGCACTAGCTATTTCTTCCTTTGAACCCAAGGCTTTTGCACTGAGCTACATCCCTCACACTTTCAATTTTTATTTTGAACCAGGGTCTCTCAAAGTTAGTTGTCCAGGCTGATTTTCAACGTGTGATCCTCCTGCCTCAGCCTCCTAGAGTGCTGGGATTACAGGTGTGTGCCTGCATGCCTGGGTTATCCCCAGCTCTTTTTAATTTTTAGTTTTTTAATTTTGTGACATGGTCTTGCTAAGTTGTTCATGATGGGCTCAAGCTTATGGTCCTGCTTCAGCCTTCCAAAGTGCTGAGGTTATAGGTGTGCTACCAGACCTGACCAGAAATTGTGATTGTAGAGCTGGAGATAGGAACTTGCTCGCTTTCTCTAGTTTCCAATAACCCCATGGTCTTGTTTTGTTTTGGAGGATTTCACTGAGTCTGTTGTC